TATTTCTGAGCTGGGGTTGTATGAATCTCATGTCTGTAGTAAGAGCTTTAGCAACAATGTCAGTCCTGTTCATGAGGGTCTGCAGGGAGAACCTGCACACAAGCTAGGCTACAGTTTTCTGCAGACAGACTCTGCTATGTATTTTAACAAATTTAGACTGACTGTGACCTAGACACTCATCTCAGTTTAAGTGTAAGCTCCAGCATATGTTTCCAGCACTTCTTGGCACAAGAAATATTATTTGTTGTTGCACTATTTGCAGATGCAACAGACAAACAAACTCTTACACATGCAGCTAATTAGGTCAATGATGTACGCGTCCCTGATTTATTGTGAATTTTGATTTTTTTTCTTTTGTTCCTGTTTTTCATGATGTTAAGCATCAAATGCCTCAGATCAGTGAGCAGACAGAGTGACGTGTGTCGAGTTTATTCTTCCAGCTAAGTCATCCCCTTCAGTAGTCAACACTGTGTGCTTTAAACAGGCAAGTATATCCTGTGGACCAGGAGTTTTGTCATTATATAGAGTGACCATATTCTGACTTCCCAAAAGAGGACATGACTACCTGGGGGTGAAGTCACGGAGTCGCATGAGGTTAATTTTGAGGGGTTTTCGGGTCAGATTGAGTGTCTTTTGCGCAGTCCTAACTCACCAAGTCCACGCAACACAAAATGGAAACTCTTATACAAAACTGCGGACATTTGAAGGATTTTATATTTTTTTTAAACTTTATTTTTTCAAGTTTTTTTGCACAAAACATGGGTAAACAACAGCAAAAACAGAAAAAGGAAAAAACTGAAAATAAACATGCACACATATGCCAGTGTACCTGAGCACATAAGGGCCCGTATTCACTTTCGCCCACATGTCCAAATAATCGTAGACAGATCAATAGATACATAATTGCACTTATACACATGCGCACATTCATAAGAACAATACATGAAAGAAAACGTGGGGTTGCGAGTGAGTCGCCACTGATTTGAAGGATTTTATAAACTTCCCCAGACAAAGCTGGACAAGACTGGACTGCCCCCCAAAAAGAGAATATGTCCAGGTAAAAAGAGGATGCATGGTCACCCAATATTATGCAGAAAAAAAAACTGACAGCTGAACCCTCTCTGAAGACGCTTTTCCATTCAGCTTTTCTGGTTTTTCTGATTGAATTCCTGATTATAAAAGAAAGTGCGTAACAAAGAAAGAGCGTTAAGTGTTCAATCCCGTAGTGGACTCCAGAGGGGCTGTTGTCACTCCTGACAGACGGTAGTTTTCTCCATGAGTGGACATTAAGTCACAGTTTACACACCTGTACCACCAGGTAACTTTCTTAAAAACTGTAGCCTAGCTTGCGTTCAAGTTCTCCTTTAAATGAATTCATTCAACACCTCTCTCAGCTTTCAAATGCCTGATTTTGCAGCTTTAAGCTTTCTGATATGTTTTGCATTGTTCACATCCTCTGTGACAGCTGAAAGGGTAAAATAAATGAATTAATCCTCAAGCGCAAACAGTCCAAAGGTGGATTTACTGCTCTGATGGTTTGAATTTCAGTCATAGCTGCAGAAAAAAACATTAAAAAACAGCAATAAAAAGGTCATTTTAATCAGGAGTAACCAAGAGAAAGAAAGAGGGGAGGTACAGCTGCAGAGCGGCTGAGGAGAAGTGTGCAGGTAACTGACTTAGAAGATGAGCTTGTAACACCCAAATTTAGAGGTTTTCTAATCTTTTTCTAACATCAGAAAAACTGCATGCTTTGCTCTTTCCCTGCTGCAGTCAGAGTTTTTCATTAAGACCTCATATCTCCCTGTTAAACGAGCTCCGTTCAATCTTTCCAGATAACCCTGTTCTGTTTATATCAGCTTAACTGTGCAGAGAAAATAACCCATTTTCATTTCATTCATTAGTCACTTTAAGCAAAGAGTGTATGCAGCACCTGAGCGCTCTCAAAGGAGGCATCAAATTATGATAAACAGTGTGTGCGTATGAAAAATGCAGGAGAATTATTTCAGAGAATCAAGCGACACACTGATGGATGAGAACCACACACACACACACACTCGTACACACATGAGAGGAAGAGTCAGGGTGTTGCTTTGTGTCTAAAAAAGGGGGACAGGGTGAGAACAGGGGAGACAGGATGAAGTGGTGAGGACTTTGTGAAGGTGTGATGGCAGCACACGTGTCGGTTGGCCTGGCTTCAAAATGGTGATTTAGCCGCAGTCAGCTGCAGGCAGATTGAGATTAATGGGCTCCTCAGGAGGTCCAGAAGCACCCACACACACACACACACACACACACACACACACACACAAACACACACACAAACGCATAAAGAGAAAACAAACACAATAAAAATGCAAACGTTGCAGGAATCTGCTTTAATAATGAATTTTAATCCAAGTATTTACCCGATTAAAAATACTGTACATTGCTTTGAAATGAATGTACTGAACCAAGGGACGTTGTTCTGAAACTGTTGAACTCTTTGCTCTCTCAGTCTCTCACAGAGTGGTGAACCTCTTCTTATATTTCTGTCTGAGAGACTCAGCATCATGGGTTGTTTATCTCACTATTATATATATAATTTTTTCTCACGTTTGGTTGTTCCTACAAAAACTTTTCAGAAACACGTTGCTGGAATCAAATTGAAATTTTCGTATAATAATAACAACACTTTTTTACGACAGAGAATCAGGACCACATTAAGAAAAAAAATTAAGACTTTGAGATTAAAGTCATTACTAACGAGAATAGAGTCATAGAAAAATCATTTCTAACAAGAATTAAGTCGTAATCAAATAATTATGTAGGAGAATAAAGTTGTAATCAAATAATTACTTGTTAGAATAAAGTCATAGTTAATAGCTATTCTAACCTGTTGTTAGTTGTTTAAATAAGCGCTGTGGAGCATTTAGATGAACTGAACCTCAGTAGTTAGCTTTTAAAAACAAGGAGCTATTAGCTACGACTTTATTCCCATAAGTAATGATTTCATTACGATTTCATTCTCGTGAGTAATGATTTTATTACCACTTTATTCTCATACGTAATGATTTTACTACGACTTTATTCTCGGAAAGTCTTAATTTTTTTTGTCTTAATGTGGCCCTAATACTCCTTAGTACTTTTTAGTTTTAACCTATAAAATGTTTTTTTCTCCTATTATTTCTTAATAAACGTGGGATTTTACTGATTTGAAAACTGCAAAATTATATTTATGTTGACATTTTACACAGTGTCCAAGCTTTTTTGGGGTTGTGGATGCAAATTTTAAAACACGTGCAACAGAGGAAAGATTTTGCAAATTAAAAAAAGAGGGTTCAAAAAGCCAAACATTTACATTAACTCCAAACTGTTGCAACACGCTGACTACTGCAAACACACAATAGATGTTTTCACAGAAAGCTCATAGAGGCAGAAGATGGTGACATTTAGAGTGTATTTTCACGAGTTTAAACCAGGTCACTCGGGTAACATGAGTGTTAAAGAATTATGAACACTTCTGCAGCGAGGTTAGAGTAAATCCACAGTATGCACGGAGGATCATCACTTATCTCTGTGATGAAAGTGCAGTGCGATAAAAAGAGCGACTGTTCTTCATGGTGACACGGAGAAACTTTGATCTTACAACCAGGCTGACACCACATCCAGGCAAATCCATCACACCCACACATTTATTTAAAGAAAAAAACACTCTATTAAAAGTCTTTTAATCCTCTATTCTCTTTTAAAGTTGTCTTCAAAGATGAGATAAAAACAGGTGTGAGGATGAGGTTAATTGTGAACATATTTCCAAAAGCCAAAGGTGTACTTTATGTTACATAAAGATATGAGGAGAGACTCTTTGGCTATTCATAGAACAACCTACTTACAGGCTTATTTGGGATGCACTTCTATGTTAGTGTGTTCAGGTGTGTCTACTATTGGGTGTCTTGCTGAATGACATCAAGTTGCATGTTTGGCAGGATAGCTGCAGACAGACGGTGAATGTGTGGAGGGAAAGTGGGGCAAGGTGTCTGGACCAAGAAGTCCTGCAGCTGGTGGAAGAAGGACTGCAGCCTTTGTAATGGGGTGCCTGTTCTACCAACCCAGTTTTTGCAAAACTTTAAGTTGGGGTAGGCAGGAATCTATCAAAGGAGCATCTTTTTTGTGGTGTATTTACAAAAAAGCTTTAAATACCAGTCAATAGCTATTAGTTATTGATGACATTTGGGAATATCATGATATCGCTGTGTTTTGTTGTCTGTAAAGTCAACGTTTTAAAATTTTTGAGCGGCCGTTCTCCACCACCCACGTCAAAATATTTGACGAACAATGTCATGAATATCATCACAGATTACCTTTGTTTATGATTGATTGGGTCTTGACAGACTCTGAAAACACTCCGATCTTCTCTGTTGTAAAAAAAAAAGACACAAACACTCAGAGTCTTTTGTCAGAAAGCTGCTGCTCTCACAAACTGAGTGGATTTTACAGCAAACTAATTCATCACACTGCTCTAATTTTACAGCTGATATTGTAAACTTATTATCTCATCAAGCTCTTTTTCCTCTGTCTGCTCCTCATTTGTCTTCTCCCACCTGACATTTGGGTTCACGCTGCAGGACAGACGGAGTCAAAGAGAGAAGGAGCAAAACGGAGAGAAAGAGGCGAGGCGGAGTGAGGCTACTATAAGAAAAGAGAGGTGATGAGGAGGCTGACAGGTGTTAATGAGGAGATAACAAAGTGCAGGATGAGTGGAGGTGAAGAGAGGAGGATGCAGAAATCAAACCAGGAGGGGAGAGAGAGAAAATAGGGTGGATGTAGTTTCCATAGTAACCTGAAGTTGTGTAAGTCTGGGAGGAGGTGAAGAAAGAGACAGAGATGAAGAGTAATGTCGTGGATTTAATTGCTCTTCTCCAGCCTAATCTCCTGCAGGCCCCTTTCAGCCTCCTCCGTGCCTGAAACAGGACGAGGATCTATCTAAAAAAGGAAAAAGTCGTCTCTGCTCGGCTGCAGTCTGAGGAGGAGTTTGTGAAGCTCCTCCACCTCCTGATGGCTCATTTCTCTGCATGGTAAAGGATCCAGAGGAGGTTTATCTAAGCTCTGGGTGTGTTAAAGGTGAATTCTGTTCTGTGCAGGTCTTTGAGAGCGTCATGTTCACCCGCTCTGGAAATAAATCCCTGCTCACGCTGTGTGTGTCGGATGCAGTTTTCTCTTCTGTGCCGTAATCAGCTGAATTGTGAGAATAATGACAGAGTGGAGTATTTCTGGCCTCCTGCCTTTGCACGCAGTGAGGGTCCGTTTGTGTTGGATGGGAGTTAATGGTGAGGGGCTCCTGTGGATTCTTACCCCGAGGGCGAGTTAGAACCAGTCAGCGAGCTCTCTGCGCAGTTTGGCGCAGCTTTTTGGGTGATTGTGAGAGTGTGTTTGTTTGCAGAGAGAAAGAGGAGCTGTGTGTGTGCATGCATGTGTGGTTTTTAATAGTCTAATTCCCACAGAAGGGGGAGAGAGGGGGGAGGCAGGGGGAGATAAAGCTCTGTGAGATGGTTTTCCTGCAGCACCAGAACCTGATCCTCTGCAGGGAGAATTTTCCGGAGCACAGATCTCCTGAGCTGCTCTGTTTTCACTACTGGCCTGAATCCCCCTGTTGTTTATAGTGACAGCTCTTTGATTGACAGGTATGCAGTGAGTCAAAGCTGCGCATGTGTGTGCACGTTTTAAAGGAATGGTTTGGATATTTCAAAGGGGGGTACATGAGGGTCCTATCAACACTTTTGTTGTCTCTTTGCTACTGTGAAAAACAAACGTTTGGAGAAGAAGCAGAACGTTAAATCAAAGTCTGTTCATTCAATGTCTGTACATGTATGAAACATTTGTGGAAATGAAAAAGGACATAATTACCAATACATGATTAACAAAAAATAATACTTTCTGCACACAGCTCGTGTTGTAGATTTGTAATAAGATCACATTACTAGAAGCACCTTACTGTACCTTAACAGGGACCTTCAGAGGGCACTTTACTTTTAGTGAAGAGACATACAGATGGCATGTTTTTTAACCTTGAAGGGATATTCTGGCATAAAATTAGGTTAGGGTCAAACACACCATAACACAGAGACACCCCCTCAAGAGATGAATGTTGCTGACCGCTTGCTTGATGACAATAGCAATACACAGCGGTCTGAGGAGCCATAAACAAACCTCAACCAAAAAGCCACTCTATAGCCACAAATAATGCTCAGAACAGCACCTAACTTCATCAACAGTACATGTAGAGTCCCAGCCACAGTACTAGCCACCAAACATATCATAAATGTTCCTCCTTGAGCTGCATCACCCCACTGCAGTCGGTTATGGACTAGTCTGAGGTCTCCGTACGAACAAGCGGCTACTGGAAGAGAGTAGGTGAGTTGTGTTTAGTCTCTTTGCTAAAGAAATTAGTCAAAGTTAAAAAGATATTTGGTGGCTAGTGCTATGACTGGGACCCTATATGTACTGTTGATGAAGTTAGGTGCTGTTCTGAGCATTATTTGTAGCTACAGAGTGGCGTTTTGGTTGAGGTTTGTTTATGGCTCCTCAAACCGCTGTGTATTGCTATCCTGCAGTCACTACTTAAGTTGGTATAACTAGAGAAGCAAGCGGTCGGCAACATTCATCTGTCAAGGGGGCGTCTAACTCGGTGTTACGGTGTGTTTGACTCTAACTTAATTTTACGCCGGAATATCCCTTTAAATAGACTAAGACAGCAATTAGATGGCATATCTTTGCATTTCAGCCTGAGTAACATTACCATATATGTTATTGTAAAGTTACTCCGAAGGCACTTTTCTATGTTTTATACAATAAAGTGCATGCAAAGGAAAAATGTCCTCTGGAAAAGCATCCAGAGGACATTTTTCCATGTTTTATACACTGGTAATGCACCGAGAAGGCACTTTCAAGCCACTGGAGGGGTTTGCAGAGGGTGCCTTTTTACATTTGATGTAATGGCACTTGTTTGCATCTTAGCTGCTGTGAGAGTTTTTACACTTTTAAATTCAGGAAGGCCATTAGTAAAAAGTACTTTATCTACTGAGTGTGCATCCGGGGTACACAAAAGGCAATTAAAAGGCAAACCTAAAGAAGTTCAAAGACATAAAAAGAAGAAAAAAGAGCTACTATTTGCTATCTTATTAAACAGAAAGAGTTAGAGACCCCTTAAATAATGTTAATGGTATTGGCTTTAGGTTTATCGTCATAGTTAAGCATTTCAGATCGTTTTGACAGCTCTCTGTTCTTCTAAATGAACATCACTTCTATTTTTAACAAGAGGAAGAACAGACAGTTGTATTAAATCCTTCAGAAAGAAACAGAGACATCCCTTATGTCGTGGGGAGCTCACTAACACCCCGAATGCTTCATTTCTTCCCGTCTGATGAGTGTGATGATCCCAGAGACTCATTAGCATTTCACAGCTGAGATCCAAACAGACATGTCTCGGAGTGTCCTCGTCCTCGTCTTTGCAAACTTTCAACCCCTTCGCTGCTCTCTGTCACCTGCTGCATGAAGGCAGAGTCACCTTTTCTGTTTGTTTGTTTGTTTACTCTCCGTTTAAAAAAAAAAGAGATTTAAAAGTCCAAATCTCTCCGTCTGCACCATCTGCTTCCTCTTTTTGTTCCTGTTTTTGTGTGCATGTTTTTCTTGATTCTGTTTGTCTTTTAATGAAGGTTTCCATTAAGTTTTCTGCATGACTCATTACACAATCATGTCCCCACAAATATCAGCATTAATCTGCTAATGAAAATGCACATTAGCTCTGGCTTGGTGCTTTGTGATCAGGACAAATTAAGAGTGTTTGTGCTCGTGTATTTTTCTATCAGTGTTTACTTTTGAAGTTTTGCAAGACAACTGAGTTCTTGTAAATTTTCTTGGAGCTTTTAAAAATTGGAGAAAAAAGTGGGTTATAAGTCTGCTTTGGGTTTAAATTACCACCGATTTAAAATCACTGGATAACAAATGGAGAGGAAACTGGTTGAACTTTTGCCTTTTTAATCTCAGTCTCGAAGTTACACAACATCAGCTGCCTCATGATCACCACAGGGTGCAATTTAACTGGATACGCTGTCTTAAAAAATGCTGCAAAGGACAAGTAAGTGGAGCATCAAATGTCAGGTTGAATTTCTGGATCGCCCCGAGTATGACAGGGGCTGACTGAGACAAACGCACAGCAACAAAACAAAAGATTTTCCTTTAAAGAAGCAGCCTGCAAATCCTGAAATACGCAAAATAAACAACAGACATGTCATGCGATTATATTTTAAAACTGTTCTGTATGAAGTCAAAACAAACGCAGTCAAAATTTCTGCAACAGCATAAATGACATAAATTCAAAAACTCAATAGCCATATTTACATGTGCAAAATTTCTTGATTCAATTAAAAATTTGAGGGATCAGATAATCTGAATCCAATATGAGTGCAAAATTAAATAATCTGATCATGACGTGCGTATACATGCACCAAGCTTCATTCAGGTTTGAAGCATTTGGACATGCACAGGGTTTTCACTAAAACAACCGCAGAAGAAGACTGTGCTGTCAACAAATCAACGAACGCTGTAGTAGCTCACTCCAATTTAGGAGTTTTACCCCTGTTAAATGTTGTCACTAGATGGCACCCTTGGGTGCTTATTTTACTGTTCTGTCAAAGGTTGCTCTGTGCGTGCAGATGTGACATCATTACGCTGTTTGTTAATGTGTTAATAATGAAATCTCCTGTACCTCAATAAATAAACCAAAGGCTAAAGAGTGAAGACCGGGTCAGGTTAGAGAGTCACGATCGGAACAAGTGTTTACCTGGATGCGTTTTGGAAGAACAATCGGCATAAACCACCCCTCTTGATGGGAATACAGTTTCTTTCCGATTGAGCCAAATTGGATCAGAGTCTTCCAATCGACATGTTTACATGACTCATTTTTATTCCGATCAATCGGGTATTCCGATTATTTGTGCCCATGTAAATGCAGCTAATGATAAACTGACAGAAAATTGCCTACCTTTTACCAAGCATTATAGGCAGTTTAAAGTTGTTTTGTTTCTTCTGTGGACAAAAGGAGCATAACAAAAGATCAACCCCTGCACGTCTCACTGCGTTTTGAGTTACAGCAAATCCTTGGATAATGTCCAACATTCAATCTACAGCCGTGCCCCTTATAAAGACCAGGATCATGAGCCTTACAATTGAATGAAGACTATGAGGTTCACTAAAATGTTTGCAAATACCTCTGGTGCAAAGAGACAATATTTGCTCAGTAGTGAGGTTTGTGGAGCATTAAACTCTTTGTGCTCTGTGAATAAAGGCCTGCCTCTAATACAAGCCTGATTCATATAAAGGCCTGGTACCTCAGGCAGTATAAGCAAATGAAAGATATTTGGCACTCAGATGGCACACTTGGCCTCACTACCTTTAGAAAGTACCACAACTTTAAATTTGAGGTTGGATCTTCTATCAGTGTAAAACAACGCCCTCTAACTGTGAACAGATTCCAAGGCTGGAGACTCACTGAGGTCTTCTAATGGTTCCTGGTCTCTGGAGAAAGTTCTTGCAGTGGGAACACAGTTCTAGTCTTTACTTTGTGGACAAACAGCCTCTCCAATTCAGCTGTAAAAGCAGCATCATTCCTGTTTCTATGTAAAAGTAGAATTATTTTGATGGTGTTGCTTTTTGTTGCCAGGAAACACAATAATTGCGGTGTTTACAGAAACCTTTCAGAACAAAGTGCACTTCAATGAAAGCACAACAAGGCGGCCAGGAGTGTCAGGATCTTAAGAAAGAGCGAGGAGATGCCGCGAATGATGAAGTGAGCGGTGTCTGTGCGACTGAACGGTCTCACACTCAGGAGGGGATAGTCAAAGAGTCAAACAGGTTTTTACTTTCTGTTAACCTGCAGGAGCAAAGTGACTGAGTTAGTGGAAGGATGTTACACGACAGCTCAGTTATGACTTCTGCTAGACCTCTGAAGAAAAACAACCACTTTAACTAAGCCTGTTGAAATTACAAATCTGACATTTAGAAGCTGCTTATGAAAACAGTAAACACGCTGAGTGAGATTTCAGAGGGCTGAAAGCAAAACAAGCAAACGAAAGAGAAAACTGAGAAGTTCACGTAGCAGAAATAGATCTCATGCATTAATTTATAGAAGGGTTTTATGGTGTCACATGACCTGCAGTCATTATTCCCCAGTCTCCAATCGGTGCTTTGGCTCCAGACCTCTGCACCTACGATGACGCATCCACCATGCAATAAAAACAGTTAAAGGTGAGATATGAAATGATAAAACACAGTCTTTAAATTTGCATTCTGAAAAGCTCGCTGCACAAAACAAACATTAAAAACAGTAAAATTAGTCCATCATGTAACCCGCTCTGCAGCATGATGACAGAAGACGGTGTCAGAGACCACCGAGTTTCCAAACCTCAAGATTCAAGATGTTTTAAGCACAGGGGTGCACTTGTTGATGTGAGTTTTATTCATTTTAAAGACTTTGCAGAGGTCTGTGTTAAAAATTCAAAAAATTTGCATTTGTATTACCTGTGCCCTGAAGGGATTTTTTACAGCAATTTTGCATATTTTTAATCATCTCTCTCTTAAAAAGTAGAAACTCAATCTCTGATAACTTTCTTAAACCTGACCAAGTTGTCTTTGTACACAAAAGTCACCCAGCTTCAACCGTTTTACCCTGTTGTTTTAACTAATGCGTATCCAAAGCCTAAAATGGTGTAATTCTCTCCCTATCATCATAATTTACTGCTCCTTGTTAAAAAGCTACTTAAAGTGGATATTTATTTGTACTCTTCTTTTTAAGCTCAGAATCACCTAATCATATTTTCAGGTATTTACATGGCCTGCAAACAAACACAAAGTCCTCATATTTCTCACTGCTACTAATGACAAATATCTGGTTCAGCTAAAGCTCGACTTAAACATCAGCAAGGGGACATAAAAACATTTGTTATATCATTGAGTTTCAGCCCGAAGATATCCTGAGTTTGCCCTTATTACACTGTGAAACCTGATACTCCTTTTCAAAATATTAGTATCTATCAACAGATTTAAAAATTAGGAACACTGATTTAATCAAAACAAACCTCATACAGAGTCATGCATGTGAATCACTAAGACTAGAGGAGTGCCTGAATTACATTATGTCTCATATTTGGAAGCATAAGGCTGCTGATCGAGCTGCTAGATTTAGTTGCCGTTGTGGATGCAGTTGTCTTCAGTGTTTTGTGTCTGGGTGCAGCTCGATGCCGCAGTGAAGTCCCCCAGACATCCTAAACGAGAGCTGTCACATAAGACAGCCTTTCTCTTAGACGCAATGCAAAACAATTTCCTTTGAACAGACATCCTAAAATAGAAGAGCAGAGATGTTATGACTGACTTGACCATGTTTTGTTTCACTTTCCATTCATTCTGTTCTCTTGAAAAGCAAGAGCGAGCTCAAGGCCGACACAACCGGCAGATGAACTCGACTTTCTCAGTGAGAAAAGCAGCTCTAAAGTTTTTCAATTACATTCATTTATCTTCAAAACTAATCGGCAAAAAAACAGAAAAATCTTGGACATTTAAACCACTGACTGTTCTAATACATATCTGCAAGGAAACGCTTGCAACATTGTTTGGAAAAGAGGATTTAATAGGCTGATTATAATTACTGTGAGGCTGAGGCTGCATCAATCTGTGACATGCAGTATAAACACAGGAAGTTAATCTCAAAACAAATAAGAAGACTCGTCTTATTAATGATAACAGGACAAAAAAAGAACATCACAGAGACGCTGTCAGTGTGTCTGACTCTGAATATTCTCCTCCCACAGATGCCTGTCTGCATGGACGAACAGACCCAGTGAGTAATGGTGTTTTCTCCTCCTTCTCTCCTCTGCAGAGCAACAATCCATTAAAATTGTGTCCATTACATTCCTCCACCTCCGTGTCTTTCAACTCACCTGTCTGGGGACGAATACCGTTGGGCAGAGGAAATTGAGCAAACACCAAAAGAGTCATTTTTCAAGGCAGCATATTCATTTAGAGAGAAACACACACATGAACACACACGGGAAATGTTTTACAGCCGCAGAGTGAGTATGCAGAGCAGACAGAAAATGGATGCAAAGACATGAGTGTGAAAGCCTGACATGAGTGTGAAAGCCTCTTTCCCTGTCCATATGGTTATGTTGTCTGTATGGCTGACAAATGAAGCTTTACAGCCTTAAAAACTGCAGTTCTTTAAGTGTCCACTAGAGGTGGTGTCTAAAAGTGAGTCAGTCCCCATGGAGACCCATGATAAAACTTTAAAGTAGAAACATACAGTTTTACAGCCTGGTACAAAACAGTTTGGGTGTAAATACAATATTTCTTAATAAATGAAAACTGTGCTGGACTGAATTTATAGAGAACCTGCCGGTTTTGACCATAGACTGTATATACTATGGACAACTTGGTTCCACCTTCCGCCTGTATACGGATTTGGAGCAAAAACGCTCCCGGTAATTCTGTGTTTTTTCCTATATTTCCTGAAACCAACATTGCGCAGTAGCGTTGTACGCATTCGGCGGGAGAGTCGCCGAGAGTCGCTGTGATGACCCTCGACTCAAACAGCTACGCAGGTGAGCTACGCAATCCTTGTACACCCATAGGCTGTATCAGGTGTCAATCATAGAAAACATGAACTCCCTAATAACTTTTAAAAACAGAGCTGTACAGAAAAAAGAGGACTTGAGCACAAACCAGTCTTATAATAACTCCATGTCAACTCACAAGCAGGGGGGAGAAAAATTTATGTTTGTTGTAATTAATCTCTAAAGTTTGTCCACAGCCCCATAAGCTTTGCTGGCGGAGGCGGGATTTATGACCTATACTGCAGCCCATCACCAGAGGGTGCTGTTCTCGGAGTCGCTTCCCCCAGCAAGGAGGCAGACGCTGTCCATTCTTTATACAGTCTATGGTTTTGACGAAGTTGAAGCCAACAGTTGTGTTTACTTACAGACTGAAGTCATTATTTCCTCTTGAATTGAAGCAACTTTTGGGCCTCAAAACACCTCTTCACTATCAAATGTGTGACGTCACTGAGACTATGTCCATGTTTTATACAGTATATGTGATGGGCTTACGTAAATTCAACACCCATTATGTCAAAGATTCATGAATTTCCTAAAATCTACAAAGGCCCCGTGCTCTTTCTCAGGTTCATCCATCTTTACACATAAGTCACTGTATATACTGTATATATTGACAGGGATAAACCAGGTATGCCCTCATGGTTGCACCAGCTCCAGTCCATAGTTCCCCGCTGACATATCAGGGGGTGATGCTGGGAATCTTGTAAGTGCAGCAATTAGGATGCAGTCCAGCAGAGCAGTCACAGTGCTTAAGGTCTGCATAACTTTGACATGAAGTTGTATTTTTGAGAAAGTGCACGTAAGGCCATGTACTTAAGTTTCTGCACAAACTCCTGATGGGCAGATGAAGCTTTATGAAGCTCTGGGGCTTTCTTTGCTGAAAAGATTCGAAGCTTTGAAGCTTCAGACTCGGCAAACTCAGGGACATCTGGTGGCTTGTAAAACTAATGACAGCCCCCCAAATGCATTCCCCAGATTTAGTGTTTTTAAGAGATAAAAGCTGTATGTTATGAAGAAATACTATCTGTATATCCATCTATACACATCTGTCTCTTATTCAAATTTACCAGACTACTGTAGTGCGAGTTTGTTGCAAATAATGTATAATCTGTGTGTAATCCAAAAACACTAGTATGTATTTGCACATGTAGGACATGAGTTAACATGTTTCAGAGTGAATGATGCAGCAGAAATTTGATGTAGAAGTAGAAATCAGGCTTAATTTGCATAAAAACCTGGTCACCTCTATCACCTGAACGACTAATCCAGTAACTCAAAGCTGCTTCTCAATGAAAAAAGTCCACCTGTGCTGCTCTCTGTATCGCCAGACAAACGCCGTTTTGGGGCAGAAGGAGAGACCAAATGTTTTCTTGTGGGTTTCATGTGTCTGCATCCCAAACAAGCAGGCTTAAAGAAGTCAGACACACCGTTTGACATTCATCTCATACCGCCTCCTCCTCATCCTGTCTCCTCTCTCCTCCGCCTCCTCCTCCTCCTCTTTCTGCTGCTGCTCACAGTGTCCTGATAAGCACTCTGCAGACAGCCTCCCTACACTGCAGACACCGAGAGGGATGAGCCTCATCTCTCTCTGTCCAACACACAACTGTTCACACGAGATACAAGGAAAAAAACAAACACTCTGATTTTAAGTCTCTCTAAACACTTCATATTAAAACACCGCAGTGAGGTTTTACACAGATATTAGAAGGTTTTATTCATGTCAGGGTTTGTTTAAATAAACATTTATAAAAACAGGAATTGATGCTTTCTATTTGAGAGACTCAGCTTCTCTGAATGTCCTTTTCATGTTACTAACCTGTTGTAAATGAACCTCATTAGTTGGGAGATGTTCCTCCAGCAGTTTTTTAAGCATTGCACAACTTTGGACCTGTTTGGTTGTTCCTGGAACAAATGTTTAGAAACATCAAATTTAAAATCAGAATGTATTTTTCACTAAAGAATGACATTTTTCAGCTTTTTAAAAAATACATATATTTTTATTGAAAATTTTATATAGATGAACATACAGAGGGATCACAATGGAAAAAAGAAAAAGGAGAAAAATATGTATGTATATAAAACCAAATTAAGCTCATACATGAGTTCGCCAACACTGAGGCTGTGCACAAAACAGGAAGATAAGGTTCACATGGATTTGATCACAATCACAAATACAGGATGGGTGCTAAGTGGTTATTAAGTGGGCACAGTTTTAAGTTTACCTCAATGTTTCAACACCGTATCCCAGACAGAAAATAATTTGTCTCTAGGCCCTCTGAGAGTATATTTTACCTTCTCTAATTGTATGAATTGTGTCAGGTCACTAAACCACACAGATACTTTGGGTGGGTTTTTTGATTTCCAAAGTAATAAAATTCTTCTACGTGCAAGCAGCGTCGTAAAAGCAATTATGTTTGTATAAATTTTCCTTAATATTGTATATCTCCTATCTGTGGTACCAAATATGGCCATTGCTGCGTTGGGTTGAAGATTAATAGTCAATGCTTCTGACAACGTTTTAGACATTTTTCAGTTTTAACGTTTAATATGTGGTCTGTTTCCTCTTCTCAGCTCAGCTTTCACTTTGGACATCCGTCCCAGGGGACAAGACAACTGAGTGGGTAAGACCCTGACTTTTTTCTTGCACAAAAGCACTAAGATTTAAAAAAAATACTGCTCTTAAAGGCTAACTGGGAGAACTTGAAGTCAAGTGTTTACTTACTGCATCAGCCCCACTGGTAACCAAAATAATCACTCCTCTTGTGGGCGTTGACGTGCATTGATCCAGCTCATGTTAACCAGCATTGATTTCTGCTCCGTTAATAACATCAGAGGAGCCGCTTGTCTGTTCTCTGCTGCAGCAGGAGGATTATAATGATCACTGTCTGTGGGTTTTTGTTTGCCTGAGGGACAAAATAGACTTGAGGACACAGAGAAAATTGACCTGCTGATAATCAGTGACAGGCTTCAGGTTGGTGGAGGAATAGGACTTGTTGATGTCTGTCTGAGCCGAGACAAAAACAGAGTCACTCAGTTAGCTACGCAGGATGGAAAATAACAAGGCAAACAAACACGATCAGCACCAAAAATAAAAATATTGCTCTGTTTTTTCTGCTCTACACTGTAGGGGAGAACAAGAAGAGAGATACAGCCCTCTCCTAATGGATCCTGCAGCAGCGGGATGATGCATTCTGCAGGCAACACTCTCCCCAGAACCTCCTCGCAGGAAGCCGGGTTTACTCTGCCGCTGAAAAATGGAACACGCTCTGCTTTAGACTCAGCCGGGGGCGAGACTTAATGCTCCAAAACCAAAAACCAGCCGAGGAGATCATGAAACTACTCTGTCATGATCTGCCTCTGTGATGTGTAGCAAAGAGCTTCATGGTGAGTCATGCATCAGAAACATCACAGACACCAGGATGTTTGTAGAGAAGTGTACCGAGCAAATACAGATGTTTCTAAAGAGAGTACAGAAAGCATGCAGAGGGGAAGTGTGCAGGAGTATTTTTGCAGTTTCCTTCATTTCTTAATGTAATTTTGACATAGTGCATCTCAAATGGGCTTTAAGCTGCACAGATGAGGCAATAATCACTGTGGCAAACAATCTGCAACAGCACAAACAGTCTTCATGAGGAGAAATGTGCTGCGAACACATGCAGCACATGCAGCAAACCATTGAAACAACTGCATGAACGAAAAAGCAAAAGTGCTGCAAACACACAAATGATGCAAAGCAATATCAGTGATTTAGATTAGAAGAAGAGGCAAATATTTGAAACCTTCCAATAACACTGTCGAGGTGTGTCGGCCAAGACAGCCAAACAAGGTCCAGAGCCTTTAGCATTTCAGGGCATATTCAGACTCCTGACACCTGCCATGGGACAAATAATCCAAGTTAAATAGTTAAAGTTATTTCAGTCTCAAATTTGTTTGTAGGAAGTTGATCTTTGAAGCTGTAAGCACTGACAGCTGCATGTTTATGGTGGATACGTGCATTAGACTGATGCAAAATGTTTACCTGGCATCTGATGGATAAAGAGCGTGCAGACCACGTTTCTTCACTGCGACAGTTTCTCTAACAAGCTTGTAATTCTGGTGCAGACTTGCAACCCTAACCCTGAAGAGGCTGAAGATATCTGCTTTGACTCAAACACAGAGGATGTAGACATGTTGATGAATGAAAATGAGGACCCTTTTCACCTGATCCTGTTGTTCAAATAGATATTCACCTTATTTCTCAGATGAATTTGTTTTATAATGTTGTTTTGTTGTGATAACACTTTAAATTGCCCTAAGGTGAAGAAAAATAAATGGATGCAGATTTGCTTTTTATAAAAATATTGAGTTATTCATTTTTGCATCAGCCCTTGAAGATACTTTGTATCTGTGAATTTTAAGAATGTTAAAGGGCAAACCTGAACAAAATTCATCCTGAATGAATCAAGGTTGGTGTATTTACTCTACATGACCTTTAACTACAAAATAGTGTGTCAGTGTCTTGGCTTTTTGCAGGCTGAAGTTAATTCAATGACTCTGGATGGAAGGAAAATCGGAGCGTCACATCTTTCAACGTTTATGTCAAAGAGAAAAGGGTGAAAAACGAAGCATAAAGCCTGATTTATTAAAAAGTTTCAGTGTTTCTGTCACGTCTGCACACAGAGCTCATCCTCAGTCGTCCCAGATTATAAACTCAGTAAAACAAGCAGAGGAGGAGGAGGAAGAGATGTGATGAGAGAGAAAAGAGACTGTCAGCAGAGTCGACTGAGATCGTGTCGCCCTTCAGCGGACTCTGCAGGGAAGCTGATGACTTCATGAGATCAGAGAGACGATGAAGACACACTCTGATCTTCCTCCTTATCATCATCAAAGCAAAACACACACACACACACACACTCATATACACACTGCTTTCTTTCTTCTCATCGTCAATCAAACTCTGCTCTTCATCCAAATGCTGCTGCTTTAGAAGTCAAACTCTGTCAGAGGGCCTCCAGAATTTCTCCAAGTTACACAACATGAGTCAACAGTGGTGCTCTCGCAGTTCCTGTTGCACTGCTGCTCACCTGTGGATCTCTGTAAGGTAACCATGGAAACATCAACATCTTCTGTGTGTGGAAACATTGAGTTTAATTGTTTATAGCAGTACAGTTTTACCCAAGACTGCAACAACCAATAGAAGGCACATGAAAGCAGGGACAGAGTTGGTGTATACGCAACTAAAACTTGACTTTGATTATCTAGATATCTTTAGTTATTCATCAGGTTTGATCTGTGTCAGAATGATTCAGAAATCCACTTTTTTGTGTTCCAGGTTCAGTAATCCCATGTTTAAAATGAGATGTTTAAGGATTACCAAACCCAGATTACCATAACTCTAACAGAGACTGCATATTTCACAGGAGTTTAACAATCCCCTTCTACTTCAGAGAAACTTTTTGACCCATCTATGTCGTCCTCAGACGAGCTTCCATCGGAGTCTCCAATCCTCCCGATTCTCCATACACCCGGCCAGCTCCGTAGAACTTCAGCTCCTGCATCCTTCTTCAGGACGTCCACATACGTTAGTGCTGAACGCCCTCGCGAATGGTGCCCGTGTGTTGGTTCCCATAGGACCAGCCTGCTGGCCGGGAGCTCCTGATGTCTATGGTAGTGGCCGGCCGGCCTCATCCTCCTAGACGCTACCTTCTTGCTGAGCTCGGCAGTTCCCCATACAGGTCCTTGTTGGTAATGTGGATGTTCTGGTTCACATTTAGAACAGCTCATAGCATTCTGACACAGCTTTTCGTGAAAACCGCAGCACTGGGTAGATTGGCACTCATGGTGATGGTGTTGAGCATATTAATGATGATGATGTTGACAGCTGGGATGTGACCTCATATGGATGATGATTCAATATAAGTTGAAAGGAGAAATATTTTTAAAACCTTAAGTCTGCTTTACCCACAGTCCAAAACTCCACCAAACTGCATTTTAAACTACAAGATGGTAATTGTTGCCCCCTTCAGGATTCTCATTTCCATAACTACCTGTTCACTCTGTGTTATCCCTGAGTATGTTTGCATGCAAACAGTCTCTGAGGAGGAAGGATTTGACATCAAAACCACTGAATTAAGACCAAATGTTTACAACACGATGAAGGACAAAGCGGCAGAGATCTGCGGCATGATGACAGTTTTTACGACTGCTCTCGTCTTGAAAATGATTCTCCTTTCTCCGCCTCAGATGTTTTTATTCCCCCTTTTAGTGTCACTTTATAGTATAAACGTCAGCTCCCTGCCCTCTAACTTCCATTGAATTTTCCTGAATATTTTCTGCTGCATGCCCACATCAGCTCATCCAAACTTGAAGCAGATATACAACCAAGGAGCTGGCAGTAAAAAGTCCAGGTTGATAGTTTTGGCTGTTAAAGGTTAGGGTTAGGAAGTTTTCTAGGACTTCTGTGGGTTTGTGATAACATTTGTATAGTTATCCTATGTAAGTGGGAGCAGATCAGGCTTCTGTACTTGATGAATAGGCTGAATTTGAATATTTGGAGGCTATTTATGACACTGATTTTGCAGAATTTATACTGTAAAAGTCATGCAAAAACCAATTGGAGTCATTTTGCCTTGTTGTAACTCCTTAAACTTCATGCAATTTCATTATAACAATATCACATTGACCAGTAAGTGAATTCCTCAAGGAAAATTTGATCCACTCTGCATGAAAAAGAAGTAGAAATGTAAATAAGAAGTATTTATTTGCTGTAAAGACGATCAATAGATGCAGCTTCATGTGTTCCGCCAGCTGATCCTACATCAGATTTGATTTCTGACGGTGGACGGGGGGGTTGAAAACATCTGGTGAACAATCACATACAAACACACACTCTGTTTGCCCCACCAGCTGAGTCTGGGAGGTGTGCCGGTCCGAGATAAGATTTTCTCTGATGTCCTGATTTCTCTCGTTCCTGAGCCAAACTGCTCCCTGTGTGTCGCCTCACACATCCCACCTCACCTGCACACGAACACAACCTCACATGGTCAGCAGGACCGCACACATTTTAGGTTTAGTAACAGATTTTTGTGCTTCATAAGCAGCTGAACCCCCGGAGAAAACAACACCTACAACAGCTTCTGTGGGGCTCCTTTAATTACACCTAATCCTTTCTGTTGAAGAACCATAAATAAAAGAACAAGCTCATCATCTTGGGTTTACTAACTCTGCTTAATTATTCACTCAGCATTAATAAGGCAATCAGCGTGCAATGTATTTAGCCCACCAGAGCCCATGAAATATGAATAGGCACTTGTCTGTGTGCAGAGCTCAGAGGTCTGCAACAGCTCTGTGTTTAGCTGCATTTTTAGGGCAGTAGCACAGTGCGTTGAAGAACAGAGCCTAATCCAAAACGAGGAGAAGAGGCAGTTAATTTAATTCTGGAAAATAACCAAGAGGCAGGTTTACAGAGCAACCTGCTACTTCGCATTTTAGGTGCATCAGATTTCTGCACCTTTGAATTTCCTGGAGATACCGTGAAAAAAAATAAACTACAGCTCGACCTTGAAATTCATACAGTGCTGAAGTGTCAAGAAGTTCAAATGTAGAAAGCAGGATATTCACATATTTTTCTCTTTGCAATCTTGACTTCTTCCAACCTTTATAAGTTGTAAGTTCAACAAGGAACAGGCTGGTTTAAATAAAGATAACCCGACTGCGTTATCCTCCTTTCAGCATTTCCTGGAGAAAGCAAATCACAGAAGATTGTGATGGTATCATCACAAAAAATTCTGCGTTTTTGTCTGTAAGATTGGAAATCAGACTTTAACTGCTACTATTAGTACTATAAGAACTTATTTCACTATAGCATTACTCAAGGTATATTTAATACCTAGGATTTTTCCCAAGAAACTTTAAGCATTTCGTGAATACATTTTTTCCCTATAAGATGCACAATTTATTTAATTTCTCATTTAATCCTGTAACATTATTTTAAGATTTTTTTTGGTGCATCTATGTAAAAAAAATAAAAATAAAAATTACAATTTAATGTATTACAATGTAAGTGTGCGTGTGTGCGCGCGTGTGTGTGTGTGTAAATCATACAGTCTATGGTGTAAATAGAGGATTGTTTATTTAATGCCTTTATTCTGGGATTATTTTCCTGTTAATTCAGAAAAGCAAAGCGGATTTTTTTAGGCAATCACGGGCTATTCACGATTTAAAATTCAGACAAAATGAAACTGACTTTGTGTCTGAAATAAACTTCTCTACGTAGTTAAAATCTGTCACTGTTTTTGATTTTCTTCATTCATACTGCTCTGACTTCCGGGTTGAACTCGGCTCCATGCCTCTCCATTGAAAAACTCCGAGGGAAACTGCGGTTTCACAGGAGCCTCCATGGCGCCGTTACGCCGCCATGTTGGCTCAAAGCCTACCAGCCTCTACGGGGAACCTTCGGTAACATCTTGGCGCCAAAATGGAGGAGACTAGGACAGTTTCATAACCCCCGTGTGGGCGGAGCTTGGTGGTTTTCTGGAAGCTCTGTGGAGCTGAACGTCCAGGCAGGCAGACGGGCGACACTGTTTGGGGGGAAAGAGATCCAAACCAGCGGCTGGAAAAGTGTCTCAGAGCCGGGGAGTGGAGCTTCCCAACAGGGCGTTGAGGACTTTGACCAGCCGACACTAACACGGAAGACGGATTGAGTGTTCACCCCCGGAAAAGTGTGGCAGCTCGGGAAGTGAGGATCAGTGTAGCCCACCTGGATCGGTGCTGCTGCCAGAGCCTGATGCACACCGTCCTCCGGGTTTCTGCCTGGGGGTGAGAACGAGACTAGACCCGGTGACGAGGAGAAGTGTCGTTAACGGGAGCGCGCACACTTCTACACGTACACACACATACACACGCACTCACCTACACGCGCACACACATACATACACACATACACACTAGCGGAGGAGTTACTATCATGTTTGACAACCACGTATGCGCTGCTCTCTAACGCGGGTTACCGGGAAGCTGTGGGAAAGGCGGGGCCGGACCGGCGGACACCCCAACCGGATTACTGAGCTCCCCGCGTGCCGATTCACCCACCGCGACGCAGCGTTTTTTTGGGGGGGCGCGGGGGTCGACGGAGGAGCCAGCGACTGGAATATAACCAGCTTTCTGTGGAACTCTGTACCGACTGACAGCACCGGCGGGATTTGTCGGTTATTCCCTCTTTAGCTGTAGGAGCACAGCCGGGTCTGGGACGCGTATTTCGGGGCTAATTCCTCCCCAGCCGGGGTCGGTTGGACTATGGCGGACGACGACATTCTCTTTGAAGATGTGTACGAGC